TTCACTGTTGAGTATGATGTTGGCTGTGGGTTTGTCATACATGGCCTTTATTATGTTGAGGTATGTTCCCTCCATGCCCACTTTCTGGAGTTTTTTTTTTTTAATCATAAATACATGTTGCATTTTGTCAGAAAGTTTTTTCTGCATCTATCTAGATGATCATATGGTTTGTATTCTTCAATTTGTTAATGTGGTGTATCATATTGATTGATTTGCTGATATTGAAAAATCTTGCATCCCTGGGATAAATCCCACTTGACCATGGTGTAAGATCCTTATAATGTATTGTTGGATTTGGTTTGCTAATACTTTGTTGAGAGTTTTTACATCTATGTTCACCAGTAATATTGGCCTGTAGTTTTCTTTTTTTGTGATATATTTGTCTGTTATTTGGTATCAGGGTGATGCTGGCCTCATAGAATGAGTTCAGAACTGTTTTTTCCTTTGCAATTTTTTGGAATAATTTGAGAAGGATAGGTGTTAACCCTGGGTTTAGTGCCTGCGTACTAGTGATCAGAGCCAGGTCCCGGAGTCTAGTTGCTCGGCTCAGGGATCCCAGAGCTGGTGTCACATCACTGTTGGGGTGGGGAGGGGCGGTTCTTGAAACAGTTGGGTACAGGGTCCAGGCTGTCCTGAAGCTTGTGTTGGCCTGATAGTGGGCAGGACTGGGACCCAGCTGGTTCCAGGGCAGGGTCTAGCCTGCTGGTGGGCAGGCTGTATCCATAGGCTGTGGGATTGTGGTTTTCTTGTGTCTGGTGCCTGCCCACTGGTGGGTGGGGCTGGGTCCTGGGCCCTCTGGTGGGCAAGGCGGTGTCTGGGGTGGCTGTGGGCTCAAGAAGTCTTTAGGCAGCTTGTCTGCTGATGGGTGGGGCTGTGTCAGTTAGTTGCTTGGCCTGAGGCATCTCAGCACTGGTGCCTACAGGTTGTTAGGTAGCGCCAGGTCTCGGCCTTGATGAGCTAGAGGGAGGATCCCACACAATGGTGCCTACCAGCACCAGTGTCCACGCGGTAGAAGGAGCTCCCAAGAATGGCTCTCACCAGAGTCTATGTCCCCAGGGTGAGCCACCCCCCGACCCTCACCTCTCCAAGAGACTCTCCAAGACTAGCAGGTCTGGCCCAGGCTCCTATCAAATTACTGCTTCTTCCCTGGGTCCTGGAGCATGTGAGATTTTGTGCGCACCGTTTAAGAGTGAAGTCTCTTTCTCCCCCCAGTCCTATGGGACTCCTGAAATTAAGCCCTGCTGGCTTTCAAACCAATGGTTCTGGGGGCTCATCTTCCTGGTGCAGGACGTCCAGGCTGGGGAGCCTGATGTGGGGCTCAGACCTCTCACTCCTGTCGGGGAACCTCTGCAACATAATTATTCTCCAGTTTGTGGGTTGCCCACCCAGGGTTATGGGACTTGACTTTATTGAGCGTCTGCCCCTCCTACCCATCTCGTTGAGGTTCCTTCTTTATGTCTTTATTTGTAGAAGATCTTTTCTGGTAGGTCTTTTTCATTGATGATTGTCCTGCAAATAGTTGTGATTTTGATGTGCTTGTAAGAGGTGAGCTCAGGGTCCTTCTACTCCGCCATCTTGGCTGATCTCCTGTGTGTACGTTTTTCTAAAGGGTCAGTTGTGGTTCTTCATTTCCTTAATATACTTCTCTGCCCCTGTCCCCAAAGGGAGACTGATGAGTCCAGGTCATGACAGTGGGCTCAGGGCCTGTGGACCCCACCCCAAGTACCTACATGCACCCTGATTTATATGGTAGCTAAGAGATTCTGGGGAGAAAATGTGACCCAGGTCCACCAACAATGATCAGAAATATGAACTCATGTAGCCTGAACAGGGACCCTGAGAGGGCAGTTAACATTGAGAAGTCTGGTGAGGGCAGATCCCATGGCTGCTGGACTGCTGGTGGGGCAGGGGGCAGAGGGGTCCTGTGTGAGCAAGGGTCTAGGAGCAGGTAGGTCAGACGTCCTGCACAGAGGGCCTTGCTGGTCCCCACGGATTGGGGAGGTTGCCTCCTAGGCTCGAGGGAGAGCCCAAAGGGACTGCAGAGACCAGCTGGTCCCACCCTGTCTTCCTATGCTGGGGAAAACCATGGCCCTAAAGACCACTGTCCACTTCCTTGAGTGACCATGTGAGTCTCAGGAAATGCAAGTGTGCTTCATGGGGAAACCAAGAAATGAAAGGATTTTCAGTTTTTAAGGATCAGACTGTTAGAAACAATTTATTTGAATGTCAGGAGAGGAGGGAGGCTCTGCTTCCGTGAGGAGGGGCATCTCGGGAACCTGAGGCCACAGGGACTTACCACGTGCATCACACGTGGGTGCGTGAGAACCTGAGGGGTCAAGGATGACAGAGCAGCAAAGTGCGAGGGAAGAGCAGGTCTGGCCAGAGATTCACGGGCTCAGATTGGGACTAGGTCCTCTGTGAGGAGGTGGCCTGCCAGCTGCTGACCCCTGCAGATGAACTCGGAACCTGATAGCTAGTGTGGAAAGACAGGGGCTTTGCAGTCTGATCGCCCGCCCTGCCACTCATGAGCTCAGCAGGTCACCCGGCCTCCCCACCAGCTCCTCATCTGCAAAATCAGTATTATCATCAGGGTGGCCATTGGGATGACGTGAGATGAAGCGTAGGAATGAGTTAAGCACAGAGCATGATGCACAGTGTGGATGTCAATGGCCCCTGGAGGATAGCAGCACTGCCGGGGCACCTCCAGAGGTGGACTGTGGAGAGTCGTGAGGGTCTGGGCCCCTGGCAAAGCTAGCCGATGGGCACCACCGGCTGTGAATGGGAAAGAATCTCCTTTCCCATTCTCCTTAGCAGTTCTGCTAAGGTCAAGGCAGCAGTGCTGGCTGACTCCATCCCAGGGACGGCCCCTCGTTGGCTGGGCTGAGCATTCCAGCCTCTTCCGAAGGGCATCTGGTTCCTACAAAGAAGCCAAGCCCTGAGCTCAGAACCACAGGCCTTTCAAAGAATTCCAGAACCTTTGTAACTTCCCCCCAGCCACCACTTTTATTCTCTCTTATTTCCTCATTGCAGCAAGTAGTTAACTTCCCAGAGCCCATGTGGCTTTGTGCTCCTTGGAGGTCTGCAGAGAGGGGGCTGCTGCGGACAGGCCCACTCGCTGGGAGCCTTATGGGGAGCAGACAAGGAGATGGAGCAGGTTGGGACTCCTTGAATTGTGCTGCTTCTACCCTGGGGGCCCACAGCTGATGCACAAGCCCCAGCTTCCTGGAGCAAGGATGGGGGTGGGGTGATACATTCCCTGGACCCTCCAGGGGTTGGTCTACACTCCTATGCTGCTCCCTGGGGGGCTTCTGGGGTGGGAGGAGTGTGACCGTAGAGCAGGTCAGCCAGGTGCTGCAGGAGAGACATGAAGGCAGACCCAGGGGGCATGGGGGCTGTCTCCCTGTGTGCAGACAGGTGGGTGGATGCTGCAGCTCAGTATAAGGAACTGGGCACTACAGAAAAGAAATAGAAAAGGTAGGAAAGAAAAAAAGGAAACTCCCAGCTGGAGCTGTCTGAAAATGGGGCAGACTCTCTATGAATAGTGAGTTCCCCATCACTAGAAATGTGCAAGCTGAGAACATTTTCGTACACCTGATGGGCCGTTGGAGTCAATGGCTTTGGAGACACTCTCCAGCTTTGAAATCCCGAGCCTGTGTCCCTCTGCCCCAGGCTCCCACGCAAGCGAGCTCAGCAGCAAGGCCTGACTGCCTCCCTGCGAGCTGCTGTTCTCAGCTCCATGGCCCCTAAAGTCAGTCACTGATGTACCAATACAGGCGTGAGAGGTGGAGAAAGTAACTTGTTTCTGATGATAGTTAAAATACCCAAGTTTTTGAATGAGCACTTCCATAGAAATTAGAAACGTAAGAATGATGTTATTAAAGGCATAACTATGCACTTGCTTGAGTGGGAGGCAAAGAGGTGGTGTGTTGGCTGAAGCTGCTGAGATTGGGTACAACCCTTGCCCTGGCCACACGTGTGCAGCCTGGAGGTGGATACCACCCGCCAAGGGCAACTCTGGAGAAAACAGGTCCAGGGTCTTCAACCTGGCAGGGGCTTCTCTCTCCCAACTGGGGCTCCTCCTGCAGGGGCAATAGGGCGAGTGGCCGCCTGCTCTGAGGCCAAATCCCCTCCCTCTGTACCACCCCAGGCAATGGACGGCTCAGTTACACCCCACCAAACCCCAGGTCCTGAGTCCTGGCCAAGTCCCCTCTGCTAACCCAGTGTGCATGTGGGCATGTGTGTTGGGGCATGGGGGAGACCCACCAACCAGGCAGGCTACTTTGGCCCCTGGTCATTAATTTTGTCCCCTGGGAGGGAACAGTTCCAAAGCTCTTTGTGCATCCAGAGTCTAGCTTGGTCCACCAGGGGCCAGGGAAGTAAGTTCTTCTCAGTGCCCAGGGCTCCCGCGTCACCCATCTTTTTGTTATGTGAATCTAGAGATGCTGTCTTTCTTGAGAGCAGGAAAGCAGCCTGGGAACCCCAAAAGAGGAGAAGTAACCAGGTGTTGGCCAAGGATGGGTCAGGGATGTGGCAAAGGAGAGCAGAGCAGGGCTGTTTGGGAAGGACAAGCCCAGGCCACCTGGGACCTGTGCCCAGGTGTGCTGTGGGCAGTGCATTCACTCAGTAGGGAGCAGGGCTGCAGGCGAGGTGAGGAACGGGCAGTTACTCTGCACCCCAAGCCCCAGTGTGGCCTCCACACTTTGGGAAATCACTTCACCTCTCTCTGCCTTGGTACTCTGCCTTGGTATTGGCTATTGGGCAGGCCCCCTCCCCAGCTCTGATGTCCAGTGTCACCAGATGACTGCGGGATTTTCAAGGGGCACAGGGCAATAGGCAGGCATGCATCCCCTGGGAGGACCCCTGAGGTCATCCAGCAGGTTGAGGTGACATTTGCAAGCTTGAGAAAAGAAGAGATATTCCAAGGAGACCACAGTCTTTCTTCACTCTTTACTGTGTAAAAATAAACTCAACAATTCATGTCATTTCAGCAAGAAAATGAAGAAAAAGAAAAAAGCAAGAATACCAGTAGAAATAGTGCATTTCCAGAACTGCTTATGGGAGGTGGCAGGTCCCATGGTTTTGACCCATTAGATACCCAAAAGGCTGCGGATCATATGAAAAATGTACAGCTTTGGTTAGCAAATAATGAAAAAGTAAGATACATCAATTCTGTTTCCTATTATACAGTATATACAATATAACAATATCAACCATAGGGGGTTTGCTTTGTTGTCGTTGATTTTTTTGTTTTTTTTTTGGCAAATAAGACAAAATTGGGACTTTAAGTATTTGGGCTTTTTTTCTCCTCATTGACTTGTTCCCCTGCAACAAATGGCACTTAAGTCCACTGTGCATGGAAGTGATACATTTCCCGTCATTAGCTGAATAAATTTACACACTGTGTTTTAAGAGATGAAACCATGACTGCTTTAAGCCACATTTTGGTTGCCATAAGGTTACAAAGGATACTATCCTCTTAATGTTTACAATTCGGAACCCTAGTTTCTTCTATCAGGGTTGGAACTGACCATCAAGTCCTCAACTCATTCCACTTAACAAGTCAGCTCGAGACAGAGGGGCCACCATAAATGGCCAGTGTGCATCCCATCCCCGACACATCTTTGAGAACAGGTGGCCCCTCTTTGGAGCACATTGGAATGACTGTGACCTTCATGCCAGCCTCTTCCCTCCCCTTCACTCCCCACAAGACACCCCCTTGGTCTCAGGTCCCAGGGCTGGTGACAAAGTGATCTTTGCAGTCTTAGAAAATAAAACTGTGAATCTACAAAAGGAACAGAAAGCATACAAAATGTATCTCTTTCTTCCAAAATAACATGCTTTCAGTTCTACGTTTTTGGCGGAGCCTGAAAGTATTTTCAAGGGAAATATAGGTTGAGTTAATTTATAGGTTTGTCCTTTTCTTTCATAAAAATACTCTTGTTTGGTAATAAACTTTTTCGTCTAGAGTAAGAGAAATAATACTGTTATCAAAAGCAAGAAAGGCTTACGATTCAAGTGGGCTCTAATCCCCCGAGGGCCCGGAGAGCCTCTGTCAGCAGCTCTCCCACCTCGGACACCCAGGGAGCTGTGGGACACCAGCTCGGTGAAAGCAAACACTGTCTCGACAGTGCTTTTTTATCTTCTTCTTTTATAAAATGGCTTACCTGAGATAGGCATGTATTATTTCAGTGCAAGAGGGAACATCAGTCAGATTAAGGGGTAGATGGAAACTATGTGGATTAGATCTGTGGCTGTGTAATCGGCCTTCCTCCGGGCTGGCAAAGTGCCAAGTGTTACCACCGTAAGGGAGTCCGGGGCTTGGCACAGGCTCCAGCTGGGGAGGGCGGAGGGAGTTAAACATCAGCTTCCATCCCTGGCACCGCAGGTGTGTCAGGGGAGGGGCGAGGAGGGTGAACAGGTCGGGAGGCTGAAGGGACACAGGCGTAAGCATCTGGGGTGTGCTCTGCCCCTCTCTACTTAGGGCAGAGGATGGCTTGTGGTCCTGAAAGGACAGCTCCCACTGCGCCCACTGGGACAGGAGGTGGTCCAGGGTCTGGTAGATCCATAGATCGGCAGGGGCTGGTGGGAGGTGCTGATGGGAGAGCACCTAGCACACTCTGGGCCTTGCCAACAGCTCTGAGATGGCTGAAGTGAGGGGTGGGGCCGATCTGGTCTAGAGGGGGATACTAAGCTCTCACTCTTTCCCAACCACAAGCATTGTTAGGCTTGTTCTCAACCTACATGTTAAAAATACTTCTTGGTGTGTTTGGGGAGTGGGGAGGGGGAGAGGGAATCGATCTCTCCCTTGACCTCCTCCGACACCCTTGGCTTGCTTACCCAGCCATTTTTAGTAGCTACATGGATGGTCACAGAACAATGGGTGGCACTGGGCACACAACACAGAACCAGAGAAGTTCATGCAGGCAGGGGAACACACACCAGACTGAGGAAGCAAGGGACATGCCACCCCAAGGAACATGCAAACAGAGAAGATCCCTTCAGATCCACAGATGCCACAGCCCGATGGGCTCTGACAAAGCACAGCGGTCTCAGAAGAAGCCACCGTTGAACCACAACACGTAGCCTGGCGCCTGGACCTCACCCTCGGCACTAGAGTGATGCATTGCAGAATGGCGACTGGGTACCGTGCAGACACCTACGCGGACACCAACACAGAGACACCAACACAGACACACACAGATGCACTAGGTTTCCGACACAACACGGACCTGCGTTTAAGGAGACAGGTGCCCTGGAAGGAACAGAAGACAGAAACACCTGCTCCTCCTGAAGAAATGTCTGCAGCTGTAGATGAGCCAGGCAGTGCAGTAAAATTTCTAGAAAGACTTGCCAGCCTTTTGCTAATTAGACTCCTGGTGACAGAGTCCAGGTTGCCCTCAGGGTGTGCGACCCCCAGATGGTGCAACAAAGCAGGGAGCTCACCCTCCCCTGGGTGTGATCCGTCTGAGTGCTATTCTGCTCGCTCTCATTCAACACACACACACACACACACACACACACACACACACACACGCACTTTTCTCCCCGCCTTGGAAGGACTAGAAGGAGGCGCACATGTTAGTTTTTCATGGAGGGAAAGAAATGTCAAAGCTTCTGGACACTGGCTGGGTCTCAGTGTCACCAGCTGGTGACAGGTTGGGGGCTACATAGGATTTGCGCTCTGTAAGATGGGGGAGTGGATTTCAGGCCCCGGCCTAGCCATGCGTGGCTCCCCAGAAGAGGTCTCCGGAGGACCTGCCCCCTTGGAGGGCTCGCCTCGGCCCGGGTGAAGAATATGGCTGTCAGAGTTACCACGGACCTGGCCCGTCGACTGGCTGGGTTCAAGTTCCAGTGGCCCTGTGTGGCTGGGTCGTAATCAGAGTGTGGGTTTCCTGGTCTAAAAGGTCTGCTCTCAAGCTGACCCACCGAAGCCTCTGGTCTCCCACTGCCAGAGGTCAAGGGGAGGAGACCAGGGGTCCTGGCTTCCTGGGCTGTGGATGGGATGTTCCTCTCTTGGGGGCGCTAGCTGGCAGCTGAAGGGGAGTCTGAGGACGTGGGAAGGCTGAGGGCCACAGACGGTATCCTGGGCCAGAGCTGGCCGAGCTGGGTATGCAGGCTGGCCTCCCAGGCCCAGGGCTGCCCTCAGATGCCAACAGCAGGATGCTGGCCAGGCACTGGGGGTTGGGAGAGGGACTGCCCGGATCCTGAGGCTGGTCCCTCCTCCTCTGCCCCTGCCCAGCACGTGGTGCCATTACAGGACACTGTCTGCCTTCAACCCTTCAGAGAGAATTCCTTCTATGACAAGATACAAATTCTCCATGGAGAGGCCCCCGGCCTTTAACAAACTGCTACAAGATATTTATTTTATCAATATAGAGATATGTCGCTCTGAAGAACGTTTACAAACAAAGACGAACGCATTGCAGAAGAAGATGCACCAGCCCCAAGGCACACGGGCAGACACCAAAGTTGGCAATGCAGATATTAGACCAGTCATGAGATTTCCCAAAGCCACAGAGAAAGAAGAAATGAAATACCTCATTTAAAAAGAGAAGGCCTCCCCAGAGAGACAGACCCTTGTAGACACACAAACACACACACACACACACACACACACATACACTCACACACAGGTCCTCTCACCTACGTGTGCATTTTTCAAAATGTTGCAGCTGCCGGCTTTACTGGTGAACAGGGCATGCCTGAGAAACAGTGCGGGCTCCTAGAGAGAAGTGGGGACACCTCGGGGACGGATGGGAGCCGGGCCTGCTTCACGTGCACGAGGACGAAACCAGGCTGTGTGCGTGTGCGCATGTACGAGGGCGATGGCCTTGAGTCATTCCTGGGGGAAAGGGAGAGAAGAAGAGACGACGGATCATCACCGCACAAGCAGGGGGGAAGCGGGAAGGGGCTGGGGACCTGGGGACCAGGAGGCTCAGCCCGGCCCTGGGCCTCAGTTGATCTGGCGACAGGCTTCGAACGTCCACTTGGTGGCTCCGCCGTAGATCTCGATGTGGGACTCAGACCAGGCAATGACATTGCCGGAAAGGGCCTTGGTGCTGCAGGTGGCCAGGTTGTACACCTCCCCCGGGGTCAGCTTGCGGTCCCAGATGTTGAAATGGGCCAGCTCGCCCACGAACGCTTGGGTGGCATCAAACCCGCCACCCAGAGTGTCCTTCAGAGAAAAGCAGAGGATGAGGGTGGAGGGGGTCATAGCAGTGTGGGCCTATCAGGAGGGCATCCCTAGGGGGAAAGGCTCTCACATCTACCTCTGGTCCATTTGTCTCCCTGTGTCTGGTCTTCAGCTATCCATCAGTCCCTCCCCTGTGGGAAGCTCAGGAAAAGGAGTGATGCTGGCCTCCTCTGCCCTGGATGCAGAGCTTCTCCTGGGGGCACCTGAGAGCTGCCCAGTGAGGGAGGGTGTCAGCCAGGTCCATGGACAACTGTGGGAGCAGTGCCTGGAGGGCCTCCCCTACACTCCCTGCCTCTAGTCAAGAAACTCAGATGTCGTTCTTTAACAGCAATAGCGGCCCAATGAGAATGGAAGCCCTGGGGCTCTCCTGCCTGCCTTTCCCTCCTGGGTGCCCGACGGGAGACAAACCACTTCCAGGAAATAAATTATGCATCACTAAATGCACATTTGGTCTTCCGGTGCCAAAGAGCATTGCTGCAGTTGTTGAGAAAGTTGTGGAGAGCCTTGAGACCAGAGCCCACTCCTGCTCGCCTTTCCTGAAAGTGCCCACTCAGAGCAGGGACTTTGCCCAAACTGCTGCATCACTTGCTTCCCTCAGCTGCTTCTAGCGGAAACCACTTGCGTCTCCAGCTCCCTCCCACTTTGCTCCCTGCTGCCTCTCTGCCCTCTCTCCCAACACCCTCATTCTCCTTTCTCCTGCCTAGTCTCTGGTTCTGGGGCTCCTCCCCCTGCAGCTGCCCCCCCTTTCCCTGCCCCCATGGCCTGTACCTGCTCCTGGCCCAGCACCAGCACGCCCTGTGGCTTGATAGGGTGATAGGGCGCCAAGTTCTCGCCGTTGCCTCCCTGGGTGCCATCCTGGTAGGCTTCCCAGACCCCGTCCCGGGTGGTCCAGGTGATGCAGATGTGGTGCCACTTGCCATCATTGATTACAAAGGGCAGCTTAGCCACCTGGGAAGGAGAACAACATACAGGACATTATGGGAACAGGGGTACAATCAGAATCAATTATCATCACTAGTTAGTAGTTCAACCAATATTCATAGGCATTTACAATAAATATCAAGAGCTGTTACTGAGTTCTTGCAGCACCTGCCCCTCTGGACTGTCAGGCCCATCCATTGATGGAGCACAAAATCACAAAGGAAATGGGAAGATTTGTCAAGGGGGCTCCTAAGATCGATCTGCATATGCATGCAATCTCCTCCCTCTTGGCTAGTCTATGAAACAGGCCCTCTGATGGAGGAGGGCCACCCCTGGGGGCTGAGTTCACTGCTGCTTTCTGAGCCTCTCCTCTCTTCCAACACTCCATCTCTAACTGCCAGATCTCTGGGTCTACAACCCGCCCAGCCTTTTTGCATAGACTCTGAAAGATGCCAGGGGAGATGGCTCCATGCCTTTTAATGCTCAGACCAGCCTCTCACCTGGAATTTCACTCACGCTCTAAACATTTCAGGCAGGGAGCCTGCCTCAGCCAATGAAAGAACCCTCACACCCTTTTAACTTGGGGGAAATGGGGCCCCAGAAAGGCACAGCCCTTTCTAGGCAAGGCATCAAGAGCAAGGGCTTGGAATCTAATTCCCAGCCTAGGTTTTAGACGTTCACTACCAAAGCTGCCATAGAGATGAGGGAGTTCGGGAGTTGGCCGCTATTCCCACAGCTAACGAGGGCCAAGATGGAGACGGGCTCCCTGGAGGGAAAGTTTGCCCTCTCCCAAGGACTCGCCCAGATCCGGCCTCCTCCCAGGAGTAGGGGGCTAAGCAGGATTGATTTGGACTCTCTAGGAGCATCTTTACCCCCCCCCCAGCATCTATGGTCTCCCAAATATGGGGGAGCAAAGTCAGCTCCAAGGCCAGCTGGGGGAGGAGGAGTCTGTCAGATGGATTGTCCCCCGGGATTATCCTCCTCCACCACCAGCCAGGAGGCCTCTGTCTGGGAGGCCTGTTCATGGAGCACGGCAAGGGCACCCCTGCCCACTTCTCCCAGGCCTCACCCTGCACCTCCCTCAGCCCTGCCTGGCAGGCTCTCCTCTTGGGGCCACAGTAGCATCTGAGGCTGTATAGCTCATGCTACCGAGACCTGTCCCAGCAGCTGGCACAGACTGGGGCCCTGGGGGCCTCGCCCTGCTGCTCTGCAAGTCCAGAGGGGTGGGGACTCTACCTTGTCGTTGATGAGGATCTCCATGGGGTTGTTGCCCCACTCAATGAGGACCAGCTCATTGGCCTGGCCGGGCACAGCATAGGAGAAGGGCGTGCCCACCCCTGGCGCTGCGCTGGACTTGAGCCACATGCACACCGTGAAGGCGTACATCTCCGGCAGGCTCTTCTTCACCTTGGCATACATGTAGTTGGTCCGCAGGGGGAATGTGAGCTGGAACTTGTCTCCAGGGCGGTTGTCCTTCTGACCTGGGGAGGACGGGATACAGTCCAGATACCTGCACCTTGACGAAGCGCCTGTCCCTGACTAAAGCAGGCTTGCCAGTGCCCCTGCCCCCAACCAGGCTTGGTGATGCAGACAAAGCAGACTCCTCTCTGTTCTGTAGATGCTGAAAAGGAGGCTCGGAGAGGTCAAGCGCTTTGCCCCAGGGCACAGGGCCAGGACGAAAGAGCTGACCCAAGGTCTCTGCTCCCGGTCTGGCTCCCATAAGGTGGCTCCCACACGGTGACCCCTGTGGAGAGGCTGGGATGGGGGTGTGGGGAGCCGCCCGCACACTCTGGGCTCTGAGCATCTGCACCTGGGCTGGGCAGTGGGCATGGGTAGGGAGTGGGTCAGTGCGCACCCTGTAAAGCAACGCTCGAAGGTGTCACCACAGAGCAAGGAGGGCTCCTCCCGGCCAGTAAAGAGGCTATTATCTCCCGTCAGAGCAGCCCCTCCAGGAGCCCAACCTGATTCCAGGATGCTGACTGCTGACGGTGCAGGCCCCCCAGTGCCCGTCACACTTCCCGTGAGGCCAGGACACACCGCAGCCCCTGGTCACTCATCTGACCCAGCCGATTTGCCCCGAGGACTCAGGCTGTTTCCAGAATCCCATCCATCCCACAGGAGGGAGAGTTGTACCCCCCGAGGCTCTTCTAGCAACTCTGTCTGGGCCCCTGCAGAGAGGGCAGGACAGCAGGGAGCCGGGAGGTGGCCCTAAAGCCAGGTTCCCCTAAGGTGACTTCTCTGAGGATGATGCCAGTCATTCTCAGGGCGAGCTTCCTGTGCGTTTCCTGAAAAATCAGGCTCCTGGTCCCATACCCTCCCTTTATACATGGCCACCAGCTCCCCGCCTGCTGGCAACGTCTCCAGGGAATGCTTTTCTGCCCTCTCACAACCTACACACACACTGTGGCTGTGGCCCTGGGCATGGTGTGACTGATTCCAGGCAAAACATTCCAATCCAGCAGTGGGCATGGGCACCAGGCCCAGAGCCAGGAACACACACCCACCAGCTCCAGGGTGTACGCTGGGTGCTGCCAGGGAGCCCAGCACTAAACCGGCCCTCCAGGCCAAGAATTATTTCTAGAAGGCATCCTGCTGGGCCAGCAACCCCACGCCCTTCCTCTAAGCCAGGTGTCAGGAAACAGAGCAGGGCTGGCCCTCAGTGTTCCCCTTCCATTTCAGGCTGGCAGCCCCCTGCCCTTGGAGCACATCTGGTCCCTGGTCTCTCCAGGGGGTGTTCTTCATTTCCCCAATCTCCCCTTTCTCCCCCGCCCTCCCTTCCCCGATCTGTTTTTCAGTTACATAACGTGCCTTAAGATGGCACTGTTTAAATCCATCCAGCACACTTTGCAGTCCGAGAAGGGTCACGTGGCCCTGCTTCGAGCCCCGAGTCTCACCCCCCCCACACTTTTACAACCTTGTTTGATTTCTGCGACTTCAAGGCTGAGCCTCCCGAGCTCATCCGTGGGCCTCGGGTGAGATTGGGGCTGGCTGGAGTTGGCGACTCGGGAACCGCGGGGCTGCATGCAAGATGCCTGGGCTTGGGTCACTCAGAAGAGAAAACCTTGGGGGTGTGCTCAGGGTGGAGGGGAGGACCCGGAAATCCCCAGAGGATGCCAGGGCACCAAGGAGCTGGGAGGAAACCTGCTCAGGGCCCAAATGTGCCATGGACCACGAGGGCCCAGCCCCAGCCCATGCCCTGCTCGCTGCTGTGGATGGGGACCGGCTAGAGCCAGGTTTTCCTAGCCAGGGAGGACTCGAGCCAGCCAAAGCTATAGTGCAAAGTTGCTGAAGATTAAACAAATCAGACTTGGAAAAATCCTGTGAGTGTGTGAGTGTGTGAGTGTGGCGGGGGAGGGGGGAGGGAACCCCAGGCAATCCCTTCCTCACTCTGCTTCCTGAGATGTCCCAAGCCCAGGGCACCCCAGTCCTGCCAGGAACACCAACTGGAGAACCTGGGGCAGGGATGGGGCTAGAGGGGTGGAGGAGCTGAGGGCTTCTACACTCCCAACCTGAGCTATGCAGGAAGCCAGGACCAGAGGCAGGGTCCCACTGGTCCAGGGAGCTGAGACAGGATGCATGACCCCCCAGCTCCCCATGACCATTACCTTTCTCGAGCTCGCTGATCCGCTGGTGCAGGGAAGTCAGGGCACTCTCGATCTTGACTCTTTCCTCGGTGTCATTTCTGGGGCCCCCCTTGCCCTCCTCCAGAGTGTTCACCCGAGACAGCACCTGCCTCTCCAGGTCATCGATCTTGCTCTGCAGCAGATCCTTGAGGCTGTTGGTCTGGCTGGAGGAATTGAGCCGGCTGTACTGCTGCGAGGGTGCAAGGGTGGGAGGGGGGGGAAACCATATCGTTACGCGTGGAGCAGGGGCCGTGCCGGGAGGCCGGTGGCGCGGTCCCCTCAGGGCGACTGCGGGGGCAGCCTGGCGGGGAGCTCGGGCGAGTGGCCGTCCGCGGGGCCCCGCACGCTTGGGGAGGGCCCAGCCAGGCATCGGCACCCGGCCAAGGCCTGGGTTGGGGATGTCGGGCCGGGTCGGGAATGGAGGTGGGGGAGGGCAGAGGGGCGCGCGAGCCAGAGGGGAAACAGCGGCGCGCGCGGACCTCGAGGTTCTCCAGGCGGGTTTTGAGCGACTGCAAAGTTTGCCCGAGTTGGCTGAGCGTCTCGGCGGCCGGCGTCCGAGACAGGTCGCCCATGGTGTTCTTGCCCGAGCCGGGCTGCTTGCGGCCGCCGCCCGTCCGCGCCTCGCCGGCGCTCGCGTCCAGCGTGCTCTGGCTCTCGCAGCGGCCCAGCTTGGTGGTCAGCTCGCGGATGGTCTCCTTCTGGCTCAGGATGGTCTCCTTCTGCTGCAGCACGGTCTCGCGGAGCTGCAGCACGTTGCTCCGGAGCTCCTCGGCGCCGCCGGCGGCCACGGACGCGGCGCACATGTCGGTGTCCACCGGCACCGAGGTGCAGATGAAGCGCGTTGGCCCAAAATCCTGGGCCCCGCTGCCCAGGAGGCAGAGGGCGAGCAGCGCACAGGTGCGCGCGGCGCGGCCGGCCAGCATGGCTGCGGGCGCTGGGACCCGGCGCTCCGGGCCGGGCTCGGCTCGGCTGGAGCTCCGCGGGCGGCCAGCGCTCTGGGCGCCGCGCTGCTCACTGTTCCGCCGCGCAGTCCGCACCGCCGCGCTGTCCGGCCCCCACTGCCGCCTGCGCTGCGGAGCCCGCGCCTTTTATGCCACCGCGGGAGGGGCCTCGCGCTGCCGACGTCAGCGGGGGAGGAATCCCGCTTTAATTGTCTGCGGCCCGAGCCCGCTGCTCGGCTGGGGTCGTAGGGGTGCGTAGTGGGGGAAACTTCCCCCAACCCCCGGCGCCGCCGCGGCCTTCGCACCACCCTCTACCGGCCCGTCCCTGATCCCAGCCGAGAACGGAAGGAGTGGGGTGGGGAGAGGAGGGTGGGCCGGGCCGCGGCCTCGGACTCCTGGATGGGCCACCTGCTTGGTGTCCCCAAATATCCGACGGGGCTCGGGGCGTGTGGGAGGCCACGGAGGACCCGGGAGACAGAATTCGGCTCAACCCGCTCGGCTGCACTGAACACCCGCGGGGCCCGGACCCGGTCCCCAAGGACTCAAGTCGTCCACACCTGCGTGCCGGGTGGGGAGCGCCGGGAGCAGAGCCTCACTACGTCGCTAAGTCCCGAGAGGGGGTCGCGGGACCGCTCCAAGTTTCTTAGATGTCCGTATGGGGTTAAAAAGACGCTATACACCCCAGGTCTGGGGGCTTCCCACGCCCTCGTTCTTGGCTCTCCTGTGCCCTCCCCCACCCCCCAGCTCCGAGCTTTGGGGACTGGCAACGTCTCCTGGGATTGACAGCCCCCACCTCGTGCCGGCGGGGCAGGCGGGCACTTTCGGAGGCGTCCCTTGCGGATTAAGCCTTTCCTGCCAGCCGAGCGTGCCCAATTCCGGGCAGACGGCGCTGCCGGAGCTGGACGGTCCCTCCAGCCCCGGGGGAGGTGCCACGCTTCCGAGGGGGCCCTGCAGGCGGACCGTTTCGCGCTCTCCGAGCGCCTTCCCATCGCGGAGATGTGAGGGCACGTGTGTGTCCGTGTGCGAGTTGCGGTGCGTTCGTGTGTCCATGGCTGTGTGTGTTCGCGTGTGTGTTGGGCTTTCTGGACCCCATTCACCCCAGCTGTGCCCACTTCTCTGCCGCTGGGGAGGGGTCCGGGACTTTGGGAGGGGGGCGTCGCACCTGCGAAGCTCCAAACGATGGTAGGTTACTCATAGTCACCCCACTCACCCGCCCACACACTCGAGCCATTTTTCTGGGCAGCGGCGCCGCGGGGCTCGGCTCCCAGATTTCCGTCCAGTTTTCAGTGCCCGGTTCGGGGCTCCCGACTAGGGCCTGAGACCCTGGCCAGTCCCTGGCGGTCAGAGCCAAACGCGCTTCGGAAGCCGCCCCTCCCAGCTCCCACTGTACAGAGGAGGGCACTGAGGTACCAAGACTCCGGGGTCCGGCTCGATGCGACAGGTCGAGCCATAGCTACAGTCGCAGTCGGGGCCGCCCGGCGGACACCCCCGCCCCACGCCCCGAGCCCTTCATTCCGCTTCCTCTGGGCTCTGCGATGGCCCCGCCGTTGGCAAGTGCGCGGGTCCCTGCCCGGAGGGACCCACAGGCAGCTCCTGGGTGCGGAGCTGACTTCCGCCCCGCGGGTGGGAGATGAAGCCAGCTCTATTGAGACCTTTTTGATAAGCCACGATCTCCTCCCTCTCCGCAGCCTCCTCCCACCCGCTGCCCCCCGGGCTACTCGCGGCCAGAGTCTTTCAGCGGCGCCAGAGGGACCCCGCGACCCGCAAGCGGCTGTCCTGGGCTTGGCGCGCCTCGGTCCTGGGCTGTGCTGGGTTTCTGGCCCCAGCGGCAGCGCTCACCCACCACTGAGCCCTGAGACCTGCCGCAGCTCACCGCCCGGCCCCAGGCCGCGGGAGGGGGCCGGCCACGAGGGTCCCACGCGTGTCTGCGACCGGCCGGAGCGCCCCAGGTCAGCAAGCGACTCGGGAGGAATTACCCGCGCGAGGGGCATCACGGCTTCTGCCCCAACTCCCATCCTGAGACCGGATGGAGTCACACACCCCCCACCCTGTCACCCCCGGGTCAGCGCACCCCCCCCCCCCCCCCCCCGCCGGCGCGCTCCCCCGGGCCAGGGCTGTGTGTGGCCAGAGGCCGATTTCCGTGGGGCCCTGAGGGCACAGAGGGATGGCGCTCCGCAGAGATCGTGTGTGGGCGCGGGAGAGGAGCCCAGCTGGGCCGGGAGGAAGGTGTGGACAGAGCGGGAACCCTGGGCTGGGCCTTGCGTCCTGAGCCCCAGGAGCGGCAGGGGCTTGCCTGAGCAAGGCAGGGACCTGGGCTTTTACCTCCAGAGGAGATCTCAGCGGTTGGCACTCGGCACTTGGGCACTGAGGGCCAGACCCCGACCGCCCCCCGCCATCGCCACACACACACACACACACACACACACACACACAGAAGATAGAGTAGACTGAGTCTGAAGGGGAGGAGGGACCCTGGGGCAATGTCCAGGGGCAGTGGGATCTCTGGCAGGGAAGTATGGAACCCTGAGGGGAGGACACTGCGGTCAAGGGCCCAGGACCCTTTGGTCCCAAGGGCGACCTCTGTGGAGCTCTCTGTCTGCCAGAAGGCAGTATGTGGGACACCTGCGCAGAAATGCTGGGCTGTGCTGAGGGGCTGCTAGGGGGCACACTATGGCAGCCCTCTGCCTTCTTTAAATCTTTTTAACTGTACCCAAGACCCTGGGCAGGAGAGATTCAATCTGGGTAGTGTTTGCAGCGTCCTCTCCCTCCCTAGAGTTCAGGAGGTATCTGGAAGTTGGGGACTAGAAATCAAGGACTGCCTTGCCCAAAACCCTCAGAGGAAGAACAAGTTGCCTAGCTACGTGGTCTGAAGGTCTCATATGTGTACACCTGTTCTCCCGACCTGAGCCCCGTATGTCAGAACTGCAGCAGGGATGGAGGTGGGGGTGGGGGGGAGGAAGTGCTGTATACACACTTGCAGTGGAGTTGGGAAAAGATGTGGCAGGATCACACAAGTATATGGTTTTCCCACCTCATGGATGCAATAGATGCGAAGAACCTAAAAAGCATAGATAATAGTAAAATGTAGTAGAAAACATTAGAAAGTGATGAGTTCTATGTATTACCTTCGTTCTTAATATAATTTATATAATTGTAAGTTTGTATAATTTAAATTTTAATGATGGCTGTGTTTAACAATCAGCTTGCAAATTCCTGGAAATGTAGCAATCAGCTGGAGCCAGCCAGCTGGGCACATCACTGGTGGAAGAGGATGCAGAGGCCTTCAGAGGTTAAATTGGGGGGGGGGGCAGGTACCTCGATGTAGGGAAAGCAAAGGGGACTGGTGGAGAAGTGTGGCCGGAGGCTCCCCAGCTGTGGCCAGCGTAGTAAAGGCAGGCAGGCATAGGAAGGCTAAACAGGTGGGTCGGGCACTATTCTGAGCACATCAGTGCTGTTGAGGGTCTTTACCCAGTGGATGGTGGAAGCCCACCCAGGGAGGGTGCCCAAGCCTGGTGCTGTGCCCAGACCCTCACCCATACTGTGGTATCTCCTGGCCCTGTTCTCTTCAAGGGCCAAGGCCATGGGCCAGCCTAGGAAGGAAAGAGCTACCCTCATGGCAGGCAATAGGGGGGCGCTGGGTGGGTGCTGGGAGGGCACAAGGAGAACCTGGGAGGACCTGGGAGGGCACTGGGAAGAGCTGGGAGGACAATGGACCCAGGCCAGGGCCCACCCACCACTTGACTCTGAGCCCATCTAGCATGAGGGCCCACCCTGCCTTTTGAAATAGCTCTCCCTGCAGGGGGGAGGCTAGGGAGTGGAGGGGGAGGCTGAGGAGTGGAGGGGGAGGGCCAGGCAAGGCCCCGGGACCCCATCTGGGAAGAGAAGAAGGCAGGAGTCCTCACTGATCTGGCTCTGGACACGGGTGGGCTCCTCAGACAAGAGTCAGGCCCATGTCACTGCTGAGGACACGCCGTGGACCCTGCCGGGGGAGCTGGCGTCTAGCCTGGGATGGGAGGGCGCTGCGGTAGCGTAAGGGGCTGCTGTTTTAAATGTGTGGGGACACGTCTGCCAGCTCCCGAGGTGATTTTTGCTTTTGTTTCTGTTTTTGGTTTGTTTCTGTTTGCAGCAGCCCCACAGTGCTGGTTACGATCTGTTTCTCAGTCTGGGTGCTGCTTTCGTAGGGGTGTTCACTTTGTGTCCAGGAGGATGACTTATGCGCCACTCTATGTGTGGTTATTTGGGGGGAGGCAGCACCCACAGGTTGTCCCTGGAGCAGAGGAGACAGGCTTCTGGCTGCTACCAGGTGAGAGTCAGTAGGTACCTCTGGCAGCCAAGCCCTCACGACAGAGCCAGGCCATGTGACTCCTATGTGAGAAGCTCCTGGGCCCAAGGGATTGGGGATGGGGCCACTCTGACAGCAGCAAGTCCCACGGGGCCTCTGACCCCTGGCCTGGAGTGGCATTCCTGACAGGCCCCATCCACCCACTCTGGTGTGACGGGGACACGTCCCTGCTGCCCAGCTCTGCTGGGGGAGGGACCACACCAGAACCGTCCCCTCTGCCCTCTCCTCAGACACCCCTGCGGTAATAGCCTTATCTTATAAACAAGGAATTGTCCTTTTCAAAGCCCTCTGTCCATGTTCATTCATTTGCCTCCCTAAGGCATGGCGGGGCTATTGTCCTGACTTGGCAGATAAGGAAACCAAGGGAAGTCCAGGGTCTCCCACACGTGCAGTGAAGGCAAAGCTGAGAGGCAAGCCCTGGCCTTCACACTCCCACCCAGCTTTCTCCCTGCCCACCCCACTACTCCCCCCCTCAACCCCGAACCCACAAAGGAAAGAGCTCTCAGACTGGCAGGACTGAGTGGCAGAGAGGAGGCCCAAGAAGGGACAGTGGCCCATCCTGCCCACACCTGGTGGTGGAAGCAGATCAGGCCAGGTCCGCAGACCCCGGGCTGAGGAGCTGCTCACCTGCTACCCTTGGAGGAGAAGCCCCCTGCTCCACCACAGGGTGTTCAAGTTCATGCCCATTGTGTGAATACCAATATCCCTGCGGCAGCCACCTGGGGACTAAACAGTCGTGGGCCGTGGTCATTAGCGTTGGACAGTGGGGTCCCCCCACCCCGGGCCTCCAGACTCCCTGCACCCAGGGGCATTTCCCACCCTGAGGGCCCCCTTCCTCTGAGCCAGCCTGGGCAGCCGTCAGCCCAGTCTGGCTGGAACAGAGCCCTGGGTGGCCTGCCCTCCTCTGGACCGAGCCCAATGCTGGGATCAGGTGGGGAACGGGTACTTTTGAACTTGATGACTTGCTTACTCCAGTAAACAGGAGTTTACAGGCATAAACTTACCATCCTGTCTTGGTGAAAACTCACTTTTCTCCAAGCAGGGGTTTCTGGCCCCAGGCCGAACCGTGGGCACTTAGTACAGTGTAAATATTCATCAAGTGTGCTCTCAGTTCAGCAAATATTTCCAGAGCATCTACTGAGGGGCAGACCCGGTGCCGGGGCCAGGGATGAACACAACAGTCTCTCCATCCTGAGGGTGCTCAGCCTGGTGGGCAGATGGGGTACCACGTACCTCCAGGGCGGGATGGCACGTGAGTGCCCCAGGCCAGGGCAGGTGGGTGGGTTGGGGTCGAGCAGTCAGGGGCAGTTCCTGAGGAGGTGATACCAGAGCATGGTCTTGAGGAGTGAGTGGGGAGGGAGGTGGCTGGCACGAGCAATGCCGGGTGATGGAGGAGGGGCGTGAGTGGCGGGCGGGGACGTCTTCCATCTTCGCAGTGTAAACTGCAGAGCTGGCTGGCAAGAGGCGTGGGTGAGGGCTGGCAAGTGTGTAGGAGCCACAGTTCCGTCCTGTCCATTTCATCCTGTCTGCAAGGAGGCACAGCTGCGGTGCCGAGTGTATGTAGGAGGTTCTGCCTGGGAACCTGCCTGGGAGGGCAGACTTGAGGGGGACACTGGCTGAGAGGCTGCTGCTGGGTGATAAGGGGTGGGAAGGAGTTTGTGGCAGGAGCCAGGGAAAGAGAAACGGACTTGAGAACGTTTGAGGAGATGAAATCGTCAGGACTTGGTGATGACTTGGGTGTGAGGAGTGAGCAGAGGGAGGAACCTAGGAAGCTTCCTGACTGGTGCCGCCCACTGAGTAGGGGAAGGTCTGGAGGGAGGGAGAGACCGTGAGTTCTTGCTGGGACATGTCGCGTTTGAAGTGGTTATTCGACAGGCAGTAGGAAATTAAAATGATGGGGACCAGGTACTTGGCCCCAAACCCAGTACTTATTAGACTATCCATATTGTCCATTGAGGAGACTGGTCCTGAGCCAACAGGGACTACGGGTCAGTGGGGAGGTCGGGGGCTGACAATGGAACCCCGAGAGCATCTTCAGCACGGTGGAGTTATAGCCAACCAGTATAGAGACGGCCCAGGGAGAGGATGGAGGAGAGCGCCCGGGACCCCACTGCTCAAGAGATTAGTTAAGATTTCTGATCTCTGAGAGTGACGCCACTGGTGACAGGTCCTGGCACTCCCAGCCATTTGCATGGTGCCCTCGGACACCAGCGTGCTTCCCAGCACTGGCGTCCCTTCCCTCCAGACAAAGGAACTGGTAAATTCAAAAGCCAGGTCTGGAGCGGTCCTGGAGCCCCCACTCCAGAACCCCATTTGCATCCCTTTGGTTGGCTCCCTTGAGCTAACAGCATCTGGCTGGTGCGGTGGGTGCTGGGGCCGCCAGCCCGCTGTGTCCTTCCACATCAATTTTACCATCTGCCACAGCCAGGAGAGGGCATATGAAATATAAAATGAGCCGAGGCATAAAAGTGTTTGGAATAAAAATGGTATGTACCAGCAAGGGATTACAATTATTACAAGGTCTGTGCCTGCTGCCATCACTCATACCTGGGAGGGGAGGGCATGAGCTCCTGCCTCTCTAGCCTCCTCCTCTGGGGACTGGGCCACCGCGAACAAGGCTCACTGGACAGAGGCCGCAGGCTGCCAGGCACCGGCGAGGTCCTGAGAGCCCTGGGGGACCTTCCAGTGCACCAGAGAACACGACACAGACCAGTTCCTTCGTTCCCTCATTTGATCACGGAGGAACCTGTGAAGCGGTCACAGCAGGGGCTATTACATTTTATTTCCCCCATTTTACAGACCAGGCAATCGAGGCTCCTTACGTTTCAGTGTCTTGGCTTAAGCAGCACAGCTAATTCTCGTAAGAACTGGCCTTCTGTTTCCAATCATTCATTCATTTATTCATTCAGTGAACAGTCAGTCTTCCAGTATCTGTTGTGTGCTGCCGGGAACTCTCCCAGACAGTGGAGATGCAAGAGCTTTCCAGCTAATTTTTTTTTTTTTTTTTTTTTTTTTTTTT